AGACAAACTAAACACTTTAATAAACTCGTTTACAAATGCAAGCAATATTTAGTCCCACCATATTTATCTGACCTTCTCATTTCAAACTCTGCCATCCATCCTACAACACCAGAAATCGATTTCATATTTCAAAATCTCACACTCGCTCTTTTAAATATCGCGCAGCTACAGCTGCTAATAATATTGTATAATTTTATCTTACTACTTTGTTGTCAATTCATATTTTACCCCATTTATGCATTTTAACGTTTTGTTCGGACTGCTATGTTATTGTCATTTTTTTTATTGTAATTTTATCATATTATTTCGTAGTCATTTTATTTTATACCCTATTTATGCTTTTCTGTATTGTGTTCTCGTCATTTTTGCAGTGGTTTGTTTTAATTCTATGTGAATTTTTATATCTATATGCTGTGCATGAAAAACCATTTATGGATGTACTGTTCTAAATGAATAAATTACAAATTGCAAATTACAATTCATAATCCAATGTATCTATCAATAATTTTATATACAGTATCCAATTTTTCCAATTTATACCTTGTATTGAACCATTTTTGTACAAACTGTTTAACAAATTCCAACATAAATGCAGTTATACAAAATGTATTTTTTTGGACTCTCTGAGAACCTGTTTCATCAAAAATGCAATTAACAATTAACTAGTGCCCTTATTGCTTACATACACATCAATTGTTTTTTCAAAATTGTTCAGTTGTCAAAATCAAGAATTATGTGACACTTCTGAAACAAAAAAAACTGTAAAGCTATCCATAAAACAAAAATTGGTTGTAACATTTCCACGCTAATGGTATCATTATGTTGAAGAAAGGGCTTTGCTTCGCTTGTTCAAAGTTTAACTTCAAGTTCATTGCCTCCATATAAATGTATAGATGCCTTGAATGACCTGATACATGAATTTATGTCTTTGATTTACACTGTGGTATAAATTCACTAGAGGCTTGCAGTTATGTAATTGTAAATCTTTGATTAGATCCAAGTTCTAACAAACTTGTGTCATGTGTCCAAACATAGGGGTGTTTCCCATGACATATTTTTAAATACATTCTTCCAAGGTGGTCAACATAATGTGAATACTTCAAGTTCAACAAGACCAAGACTGGTGCAGACAACCCTTGACAATATTAACCCATCCCCTTACAAGGGATGGAACTTGTACATGACTGACGAAGGTAAGAAAAAATCTCTCATTTACTTTTACATGTATAGACCTCATTTCAAATTTGTAGGAAATATTTTGAAGTACATGTACTGTATTCTAGCCTTATGTTATTTTGTATACTACTATCTTCAGAGGTATTTGTTAGTGTAGGTGTACCATGGGGTACACTGAAGTCAATTAAGGCACATAGGTTATAAATTATTCATAAATTACCGGTATTCATAAACTCGAACCACAGTAAAACATTCTATGGGCTTGTGCAGTGACATAAGCTCTTGTAATGTATTATAATTTATGCACAAGGGATTTGTGGAATGGAGGTGTGTACCGACCAAGCTAATTCAATCATCTTGTCTGAATTTGAATGAGATTGGTTGCAAATGAAAATATTTGTTTTTCTGTAAATGCACTCTATATTGTTTGCCACTGTCGCATCCTATTACCAACAAATCTGTCTATAGTACATGTATAAACACTGAGGGCAGTATACATTTTTTTTTTTTAAATTGGATTGACAATAAAAGACCTTAAACCAAAAATAATTATTCCAAACGTACAATAGAATTTGAAAATCGTTTCTGCTCCAAGAATAGCATATATACACTTACATAAATGACATACTAGTAGGTAGTATTTATGGTCAAAATAAGTCCTATTTTCATAATCCAGTATTTGGTTTATATTCCAGTGTAAGTAAAACAGAGTTACACACAGTGTTCAGTTTACAGTTTAGAAAAACTATATTGTAATTATGTACCTTAGAGTTGCAGTAAAACATGTTTATTGCTTTAATGGTGTTACATTTTATCAACACTGGAATAGTATACAGTAACACTCAAAAGTTTATTGATTCTTTTTGGATGATAGTCCAGCAGCTCTTTGATATCAAATAATGACTAATTTAGTCTACTTTGTTTTGTTTTCAGGTTATTCTGATAATTCCCCAACTGTAGTCAAAGTACAAACATTTGAAAAGTATTTTGTAGGACAGTTAGAGTTTCTCAATAAGGTAAGGTACCATTAATTAAGCATTTTAGCTCCACTTTTGTAATATGCAATGTAATTTTATTGAATCAAAAGTTTTCATCATTGGTTTCCATCTGATTGAATATGAGGTCTAAGCAGAAACATGTTTGATTCTTTGTTGCATAGCCAGGAAGCTATACATCTACCATTTTCACTCTAACCTTGTCTGTGTGTATTTTAGAGGGGTAGTGTGGGTGTTCGTATTAAATATTTGTGGTAATAACAAGCAATTCTCTTGACAACATATTGACAGGATGATATTGAACAGAAAGGTAGCATAACAGTTGATTATAAAGACTTAGTCAGCAACGGTGGCATACAGGAAAGTATTCCATCGCTATCTGCTGATGTGAGAGAAATGCCAGAAAAGATTCTACAGTGTCTTGGACTAGCTATTCACCAGGTATGTAAAGTCTCATGACGTAAATACTGTTACATGCACCACAATACACTGAGAGTATTTGGCCACTTGTTAGAAACTCCAGTGACTATGTATAGATAATAATGAACATTTGAAATGGAAATTGTGCACATTTGCATTTTCATTGTGAGGGCATTCTTTTTCAAGGCAAAACATTTAGAAAAACTTTGTCTTATTGAAACTGTGCAGCAAAAACTTTGCATTCCTTAACCATATTGAGATTTGTGAACTATCATGTAAATATATTTAACACAAATACACAACCATACTTGTATTTCAGTAAATTCAATGCCTTGACCAATCACATTCAAACTTGGCTGATTTCATTTAAACTTCACACACATCCCACTTCATATCATACATAATGCCCTTTTCCTACTTGGAAGAGAATGATGCATATTTTTTTTTTTATGTCTCCTTGGCTTATCATCTGTAGGTTTTGATTCATGACTTGGAACAACAGGCTTTAGCTTTGCAGCAACAGACACAAAATGAGGATGGTGTCAGTGTGGAAGTTCCACCGCTGCTAGTCAGTGTACCTTGCATTCATGCTAGGTAAGGTATAAGTTCAATTCTAACTTTGATGATTATCAGAATTACTGTAAAACATGTTGAAAAAGCGACATGCAATTTTAGCGAATTGTGGTAAAATGACGTAATAGCGAAATGTTGATTTAGCGATTCTCTCTTGTCATTGTTGATTTCCTGTTTTCCCAATAGTTGTCTGTTGCACGCCAAAACAAATGCAGTTATCACCTCCATAAAAACAAAATATAATTCGATTAAAGTATAATTTGATTCTGTTCGCAATGATAAAAAAAATGATTCAACAGGGATTTGAAAAAGCGGGTATCTTTGCTGCATTACATCCAGAACATTGACCTTTTATATTGAGACTCAAAAATTACTAAGTACTACTAATTTCCGTAATAATATATCAGTATCACTTCATTTATTTATTTTCATTGAAATAATTACCACAATGAATACGTTTATATTTTTGTGTTAATTTACTTTTCAATAAAGTGTATCTATCATGTCAGTATGTTTTTTTGTTTTGTTTACAAAGTGTGCGTGGAGGAAAAAGACGTTGTTTGGTGGCCATTTTGAATTTATAATAAAGTCATTAGCGACATCTTGAATTAGCAAATCAGTTCTCTCGCTAAATTCGCGAAAAAGACATGCTCGCGAAAAAGACATGTTTTACAGTATTTTTCCTTGTCCATTTTTTGTAATTGATTCATACATTATGTGACGAGTTATCCAAACTATCAATTGTCAAGATAATTACAGTTTCATCCCCAAATGTCCGAATAGCATGGTTTTGCGAGCTTGATTTGAACATACCGTAAGTTGAGCCCTGGAGTTTGTTTAATTGAGGTTTTAATATTAAATTTTCTATTGTAATTATTTTGTGAAATATTCCTAAAATGCTGGCATATTTCTAATATGTGTGCACCACTTTTTCTTCTAGGTTGTTAAATTATGAGCCTGTGACACCTTTGAAGAATCTTAAGGCTAACTATTACGGTTAGTTATTTAGTCATAAGTAGAGTAAAAATAATCCCATTAGTGTGTGAAGAGACCATAGACCTTAGAAATGCATCATGTATCACATAAATTATGGAAAAAAATTAATTATGGGATAGTAATTGACTGTATTCTCTACTTTGTAGGTAAATTTGTGTCAGTGAAGGGCACTGTGGTAAGAGTGAGTAATATCAAACCCAAGTGTACAAAAATGGCCTTTCAGTGTAATACATGTGGTGAAATACAGGTGAGAAGTACTATGATCGACTCCATCCATGAATGACTCTTAAGTATTGCACATCTTTTGACTAAAGTATACCATGTTTTTTTGTTTGTTTTTATTTATTCAAAGATGTGGTTCACTTCAAATAACATAAGATTACATTGCACAATACAACATAAATACATTTCTTTTCAATCTTTGTCCTCAAATAAAGATTGATAATACTTTTCGTCTTTGGGAGGTACAAAAAAAGGATGCAGAAATTGATACTTTCATTATTTTTGTGATGTCCGATGTGATTCTGTAATCAATTATTGCAAGATCTGTACTTTACAGTTTTTACCCAATGTGAATGGTTTTAGCACTAATTGATTCTACTGATACTGAATGTACATCTTTACAAGGGAGGCTTTCTATTTATTATGCACAAGCTTTGTGATGATGCTCTGTTTAGGGTTAGACAGTAAATTAAAATAAAACACTGTCTATGGTATGAATTTATAAATATAATCACTGTTTGTTGTTTTCTGTTTTCATGTAGAGAGTTATTCTACCTGAGGGGAAGTATACAGTTCCAACAAAAGTAAGTACAATTCATTAATTGAATTGATTTGATTTTAAATTCAGACATAATATGGGAAGGAATATATGAATAATATTTTATACAATTTTGTTAGTGTCCAGCAGCTGATTGTAGAGGGAGATCATTCATTCCATTAAGAAGCTCCGCCTTGACTGAGACCGTTGACTGGCAAACCATTAAAGTACAGGAAATAATAATGGATGATCATAGGGAGGCTGGTAGAATACCAAGAACTGTGGAGTGTGAGCTTACACATGATTTAGGTACTAATGGTTTTGATTACTTGAATGTGTGTTTTATTTTCTGCATGCTTTAATGACTGGTTTCATCAGTGCACACACACACATGTATAAAAGTGAGAGACTGAACTTCATCAAGATCATCTTCTGGGAAACATTGAACAAGACCACTCAGTTTGTCTTTCATGTTGTGTCATAACATCCTCAATAACAAAATGTTGGCAAAAGCTCCATGTTTTGGTTGTTTTGCTTTGGGTATATTTGTCAATGTGAAAGTATGGAAAAGTAGTGAAAGTAATGAAACTATATCAGTATGTATATCAGTATACCTTTATCTCTCTGTCAATTTTTTCTTGTCAAACCTTTTCAGCATGGATTTTTTTTCACTAGTTTGATTTGCTGTAGCATAATTAATCTCATTGGCTGTGTTCTCATTCTTCTTTCAGTTGATAGTTGTGTTCCAGGTGATATGGTCAGTGTCAGTGGAATTGTTAAAGTTACCAGTAGTGAAGAAGGTGTGTAGTTACGTCATACTCACTGTTTACACATGTTTATCTAGGCCCAGAGGTATGAACAAGAAAAATATAGCGTGCAAGGATAAAAGATATAATGTACAAAGACAGTACAGCAGCAGTATATGCACGTCGGTCGATGCGATCGCATACTGTCTGAGTGCATACTGTGCAGTATCCTTATAATAACCTTATTAATATACATATTTTCCTCCCAAGGATACATTATGGGAATGCTGAAATCGAAAAAGTTTAGAATGCTTATGCATGTAATTGTTTCATATTTGGAATTCACATTTCCTAATATGGTAGGATGCAAATACAGCAATATCACGGCATGCTGTAACTTATGGAGTTACAGTGACGGATGTATAATAATAAGTATTAATAAATTATTAATTAATTTATTCTGTAGAGTTATATTTCACACATATGTGCACTTCTGGAATTTAAAACACAATTAGATAACCATGGTTTCAAGTGCCCATCCATCAAGTGTCTATAAACACTATAATAATGTGTTTGTATTTCAGCAGAATTATTTCTATATTGTGTCATGTAAGCAATGATTAGTTTTTCAAAAATGTTAGTGTTTTATATTTATTATAAGACACGGTTTGTTTTCAGACAATCATTTCAACTGATTCGCCGTAATTCTTCATACTATTTCTGAATTTCCTATTTCACTAATTTTATACAGGTCGGGGGAGGAACAATAAAGACAAATGTATGTTCCTACTTTACATATATGCTAATTCAGTTAATAATAGTAAAGGCAATAAAAAGGGAGAATCCAATTCTGGTCTTGCCGTGGACTTCACTCTCAAGGAACTCTATGCTATACAAGCAATTCAAGCAGAAAAAAACCTATTTCGACTTATTATTGGGTGAGTTTATATTCATAGATCATCAAATAATGCCTTCATTGCTGAGTGCTTGTACAAGTTGGATATGCTACCGGTCCTACATTTGGCACCATACAGTGATGCATATACTAGAATGTTCATCTCAGTCATTTCTAGTCTCTGCTTTATGAACATGCTTTATTATAAAGGATGTTATAAGCCAACACCTCTGTATTAAACTGAACAAACTTTTGCAGTCCATTCTGATTGACACATGGTTGACATGCAGTGTGGGATTGGTACATTGTGTCTCTTGTTTCACATCAATAGTAGTAAAATGGCCTGAAACCACGATGGCCAGGTCTTGCTCATTCATATCAGGTGATCATTTTCTATATATCTACTAAGCATGTCTATGTCTATTTACGCTGTATAGTTATCTAGCTAGACACACATACCTAATAGTAACGTCAGTGATTGGACTTTGGAAAACTATATGTAGAAGTAATGTGACTGGCGGTATTACTCCTATAGTGCTTTTAATATAATGAACAACATGATCAAGCATGTAGAATTCCTCACAAAAATGACATTACCAATAATTAAAGATTTGGAAATTTTCTCATTTTGTCTTAAATTATAGATTCAGATTTCAGTTACTTGCAAAATATGACAGTGATTGTACTAAGATTCACTTCAGAATTCATGCATTGAAACATACATGTATTAAACACATTTTGGGATACTAAGTGTAATTGTAAACTTATAAATTAATAAATTCTTTCAAATAGTTCTCTGTGTCCTGCCATATATGGGCACGAAATGGTTAAAGCTGGCTTAGTTCTGGGATTATTTGGTGGGACTCAGAAGTTTGTCAATGATAAGGTACAGTAATATTTCATCTTTTCTCCAAATTCTGACAACTCCAAATGATTGTATTATATAAAAAGTACAATAATTATATGACAATTCCATGACTCGGTCACATTGATAGTATATAAGTTGATGTGTGTGATCTGGACTGTAACTTTATTTACAGTAGGACAGTACAATATACCATCATTCATTGTACATGAATTCTTGCATAAAAATGTAAAGATATATTTAGCTTTGCTTTTGTTGTTTTCTTAGAATCGCATTCCAGTTAGAGGTGACCCACATATCTTAGTTGTTGGAGATCCTGGATTAGGAAAGAGCCAGGTATGAAATGTTAAAAAAAAAAATTAGTTACAATAGTTTGTAACTATGGGCAGAAATGTATATGAAAGTGTTTAATAATATGCTAACAGATAGAATATTTTCAAACCATGACAATTCTGTAATTTTCAGATTGACAGTTTAATACATTGTTATATCCTATTGTTATTTCAGATGTTACAAGCGGTATCTAACATAGCACCAAGAGGTGTGTATGTATGTGGCAATACAACCACTACTGCAGGGTTAACTGTGACACTGACGAAAGAAAGCTCATCCGGTGACTTTGCATTAGAAGCCGGTGCACTGGTTCTTGCAGATCAAGGTATCTTGTTTATAGACACAAACTGAATGAAGGCACAAAGCTACAATGTATGAGCAAATTTTTTGGAAACGAAATTTCAATGGTTTGTTTTTCACTCAAGGCATAACCAAGGCTTTCAATTTTGTTACAATCAGTAATTTTTTTGGAGTTGCAATTTCTACCTTGTTATTATTGATTATAAATAGAGAGTAACCTAGTATAGACATTTACAATTGATGATGCCTGAAATGTGTAACAAACTTGTAACAAATGCAAGCAACTTTCTTTTTAAAGACACATATCCACCAATTTTCAGGGGACACATGTTTGTGTTTGAAAATTAGGTTTGGGTCATTTGTGTAGAGAAGACAAATTCACTCTAACTCTGACAAGTACGTATACAAAATTAGGTTTGGGTCATTCGTATAGAGAAGAAAAATTGTTTCAGTATGTTTAATACACTGTAAAATAATAATACACTTACCCTAGTACATACATTACTTAACATCAAATACTATAAACTATGTTATTGGATTGATCCTTTACATGTGGCTTATATCATTGCATCTTCTTTTCTCTCTGTTTAAGGGTGCTGTTGCATTGATGAGTTTGATAAGATGGCAAATCAACATCAGGCACTGCTAGAAGCCATGGTATGTTGTCATAAAGTATCATATAATCGCACCACTATTGAAGATGACTGAGCAAACATGAGGATAACATTTAATCTCACAGCAACACTAAACATAATACTGCAGATGAGACGTTAGGACAACGTGGCCATATATCCTCATATATTACATAATGTAAATTCTCAAAAAGAATCACAAGTAGACAGAATATAATATCCCACTATGCCATATTAGAAATAGCTAAGTAATACATATGCATTATTTGTTATTTTGACAGGAACAGCAAAGTATCAGTATTGCCAAGGCTGGTGTTGTGTGTAGTTTACCAGCTAGAACCTCCATCTTAGCTGCTGCTAATCCAGTTGGTGGACATTATAACAAAGCAAAAACAGTGGCAGAAAATCTCAAGTGAGTATAAGAATGAATTCATCAAAGCACACATATGTAATTCAGTGTATATTTACATTGTCATGACTTCAATACAAATTAAAGATTTGTTTGTGATTTAGCTCTGATCATTACCAAAGTGCTTCAGACTTATAATTCAGTCCATCCGTCCGGAGTCATATTTCAGAATCCTTTGGACTGATTCTATTCATTCTTTGCATGTGCCTAGTACTTTATGTGGGACATATGCACATGCAGTGGTTTAGTGATTCAATTCAAAATGGACAACTGGCAGCCATCTTGTTTTTTGAAAATGTTGTATTTTGGACAAGCTTTGTCAGTTTTCATTCAAATTTGGCACATACTTTATACATGTTAGGATACATGTCCATGACAATTTGTTTCAAATCAGATCATGGATGGCTGATTGACAGCCATCTGACTTTTTGGCCTTACTATATTTCCAAGATTTATGTACCATTTTTATTTGTATTTGGCACATACATCATACATGTCACTTTGTTTCATAATCAGATCAAAGATCAAATGTTTTGTTTTTTTTGGCCATATTACTACATCTCTGTCACCAATGTATCATTTTCATTGATATTTAGCAATTTGCAATTTGATCAAATATGGCAGACTCGCGGCCATCTTGTTTGTTTAAAATGTGATAACTTGGACATGCTTTCACTTGTGATCTATGTTTTTCTTTGCTATGTCTTAAATCGGAGGGATTGTCACACAACACGTGTTTGAATTTGATGTAAATAAACAATCTGTTTTAAAGACACGCTCACGACAACCCCTCCACTTTATTATGATGAGCACAAAGAGAACTTTAAAAAACTTAACAGGGACTGTGTCATTTTCAATGACTTGTTTAGTTTGAAATTTTTCAAGACAGACAATTTATTGTGTTGTTTTTTTTTCAGGATGGGTAGTGCATTACTATCTCGCTTTGATTTGGTTTTTATTTTGATGGATAAACCCGATGAGGAAATGGATTGCATGTTGTCAGAACATGTCATGGCTTTACACTCTGCTGGCAGTGCTAGAAGGTGAACTTGATTCTTGTATCCAATTTTGTGACAAATAGACGGAATTAAATTATATTCACTGATTTATAAATGTCCACAGATCTCATCAAGAATACCAACCATTTTAGAGAGTATAATTTCGACATCCATATTCAGATTTAACGTATGTTTATCAGCTGATTTAACATGCACTTAGCAGGAGCACTTTATTTATCAAACTCCTTTATTTTAATAGTTTTGTGTAGCATGTTTTATGCCTTTCCTAATGAAATTAATTAATTTACATGTCAGTATTGTTATGTAATTGTAACAACAGGACAGTGAGTAGTGCAAAAGTAAGAAGAGAAACATTGGAAGGAAATGATAAAGATGGTGATGAAGATAAGAGATTATGGGATGAAGAGAAACCACTTTCTGAAAGATTGAAGGTATACATACTCTTTGTTAATGTCTCTATGGTGGAGTGCTCTGAATTTCTCAAAACACTACCTACTCCTTTACAAATATATTTTAAGATGGTAGACATATTGCAAAATGTTCATAGTGAGAAAGTTCTACTCAATTTCACCACCTAGCCTAATTCTAAAATCAGTATATGGTTGCTGTACTGTCTTTTTGCATACTTTGCGGTATCCTCATAATAACCTCATTATTTGGTTAATATCTTTTGTCTCCCAGTCTGTCAGAGGAGAGGCTTTTGATCCAATTCCTCACCAGTTACTTAGAAAGTATGTAGGATATTCCAGGAAATATGTCCATCCTAAACTGACACCTGAAGCAGCTGGTGTTTTACAGGTGAGTTGGTATCACGCAGAATGCAGTGAAACAGTATGAGGTTATTTTAACAGTAATGAATCCCCCACAATGTCATATTGGATGAGCAGATTGGTCTTATTGCAAGATAATTTGTGAGGCAAAGCTAAACACATCACGTCTAGAACCTTCTGTGAATCCAATATGACACTGTGGGGGTTTGAATATTGTTGCTATAAATCATCACCATCAGAATTTAAGTAATTTTGGGGGCTTTTTGTTGAAATGAATTTACTTGTGAATAGAGGTTCACATTATCATTTATCATGTGATAATGTAAAGTTATGACATCATAAAAATCTCTAATTCTGATAGTGTTAATTTATATCACCTGATATCACTTGTTTAAAGAGCTTTACAAATCAGTGATAACAGGTGATAACCTTTTTATCTCATCACTAAGTCAAAATGACAGAAATCAAGATTCTACAGAACTACAATTATGAATCATTTGCAGATACGGCCCAACATTTCGGAATCTTGTTTCTTGAAAAATTGTTCAGTGGTAACATTTGTTTTCCCATTTTCGGTGTCCTGATGGCATAAACCCATAATAATAAAAAAAAATGAAAAACCTGTCTTATAATTTTCAATTTGACTCAAACCTCCTTATAAACGACATGCTTTTATATAGTGAATGCTGGGGATAATATTAGTTACATATACTTACTTTTCACTGTGTTGATGTTTCAGAAGTTCTATCTTGAGCTGCGTAGACAGAGACAAGGACCTGATAGTACACCGATTACCACAAGGCAGCTGGAGTCACTGATTAGACTGACAGAAGCTAGGGCAAGATTAGAATTAAGAGAGAAAGCTACTGCACTGGATGCACACAATGTGGTAGAGGTCATGAAATACAGGTGAGAAGTTTTATTATCAAACGTTACTGCACTCTGGTGAGTGGCCAAAAAGATATAACAACCTCTTCCTATTTGTTATGTGAACTCTTCTCTATGGAGGTTTCATATTTTCTACAATAAATCACTGAGACACCTCAGGAAGCTAGCTAATTGGCTTGCCATATTTCAGTGATACATTATGGTATACTTAGAAGTCTCAAAGATCTGTATATTTTTATACATGTATATCAAATCTTGAACATAGAAATTTAAAAAAAATCATTTCATGTGTATTCATTCATTCATTTTGGGCAGATTTTGCACTACTGAGCATATGCAGTTATTATATGTAATTTTTCTTATTTCCAGCATGGTAGACACTTACAGTGATGAACTTGGTTTGTTAGATTTCCAGCGATCTCAGCATGGGTCTGGTATGAGTTCAAGATCACAGGTAAAATATATCTTCATTTTATTGTGTGCAAAGATAATGTAAGTTGAAAAAAAACATGACTTTTCCAAGCTTGACTTGGAGGTGTTTACTACAGCAAGACTTGCAAGGAAATAATCCCTATTGTTCAGAAGTGAATTTATTAGAACCTGGGCCTTTAATTAAGCTATGAATATGTTGTACATGTCTGCATAAGCGTTCAACTTTCAGAATTTGTAGTCATAGTTTTCATAAAATGTGCATACTCCACTTGTGGTAGATAAACAAACAATCTTCCCAATGAAATTACTAGACAGTCTGAAAATATGACTACACAATAAAAAACAAAAACAAATGATATTGCTTGAAAACTAGAGGTTCACAGTTCCCCTGCTAGAACAAGGTTGTATGAAAAAAGACGCCCCTCCCAAGCACCTTCTATGGTTCAATTTTCCACCCGTAATCCTTTGCAAAATCAAAACACATTTCTGTCGCATAGAACACTTTCCCGGAAGTAGCAAGACTGGGTTGCAAGCAAGATTTTTGCCGTTTTTTGTGGTGTCAAATACAAATATGTCAGTCTATTGTTATTTGTTGAAAGGAATCTCACGTTGTCATGTCGGTTGGTACATCCATAAGCACAACATCACTTGTAAATATTTACATTGTACTCCATATACCATATGCTCACGCATATGAAATGCTGTATCTTAGACTTCCGAGAAAGTGGTCTTTACATTAAGAGTTACTTAATGATCTACTATTCATGATCTATTACCAGAGGCATCATATAGCCCAAGAATCAATATCTGACATAAAGTTTCAGATAGATGAATGGACAGTGTCTACTACATTGACTATTGGGGGAGATACGAGTTTGAACTCAACTTATTTGTTAATTCTTAGCACAGCAAAACTTAGTCAGGGTTTCTTCTTTGATCACATGTGATCTTTATAAAAGTCTTAGAACAATTTATGAGAACAAAGAGATTTGACTTGAGGAAACAAATCAGGCTTGGAAACAAGACACTTAAGTGTTTATTAAGTCCTGCTATGGATCATTCTGATTTGTTGAAAGCACTAAGTAGATTTTAAAAATTGATAATACCCCCCAGTATAAAAAGATTTGTTAATTTTTAGGGAAAAATTTGTCCCCTGCAAAATTAAAGTGACCTATATTTTTCTAATGTGTTGTGTTTGTGATTTTGATGTAAAATAATATTTATTTATGTATTTATTTTACAGGCAAAAAAGTTTATAGCTGCACTCAGTAGAATTGCTGAGCAAACTTACAACTCACTATTTACTGTGCAACAAATGAGACAGATAGCAAGGGTAAGGATTTCAGTGTCACAAATTGTGACACTCCTGATTTCACTAACGTTCTAAATAGATGGAAAAGTCTTCATCAGTATTAATATTGGTGATATTTGTACTCGTATATTGCAGTACATTCATGATTCTAGGCGTTAACCTTATTGAGTCATTTGTGATAGCGCCCTCTAGTGATAGGAACTATTTATACTGTTGGAAATTCAAAAGAACACAGTGTAATGTGTGGCTATACCAAATAAGTATTTAAAATTGTAATAAAAAATGTCCCTCAAAAAACATAAGTTGAACACTCAAACTTCTTCTGAGATGAATGTGCATATTAATTAGCTGATTTGTATATTACTAATGACTGTTCATAGCACGTTTAAATTGTACTTTTAACAATTACTTGTGTGAATTAAGTGATTTTCTAGTCATAGTTTGGAATATTTTAGGCATATACAATAGCTAATTTAATATTTTTTGAGAAATAAAGGAATATCACAAATTTACCAATAAATAAAATGTAACATTCTTATCATGGCAGGATGCATCAATTATGGTTGGTGACTTTGAAGATTTCATTGCGTCTCTCAACAACCAAAGTTATTTACTGAAGAAAGGACCAAGAGTATATCAACTACAGACAATGTCTTAGTCCCTGTAGTTATATTGCAATTAACAATATTGCACGTGTTGAATGAAATTTTTATTTATAAACTTGTATAAAAAATTTCTTTTTGCTCATTTGATCTACATTGTTATGACGTTATTAAAGGACCTCAGACAATTTCCATTTTGCTTCACTATTTCTTGTGTTGACTACTGTAAACAACCAAATTAATGAATGGCCTAGGATGTGTACAGAATACCTGACATATATGCTGTATGTGATGGGAAATATTTATCAGATACCACAGATGTATACTGTAGAATACTTTATTTTCGCTTGGATTCGCTGAAGGGATGATTCAGTGAAAATAAAATCCAGCGAATATACTTTTTTTCTTATATTTCACATTAAACTCATCAAAAATCAGTGAAAATAAATTCCATACAAAAAGCCTTTGCAGAGAGATCACTGCGAGATTTCACATGTGTGAAAGGCATGGACCAAATGTCTGCTTCAAAAATAAAATGGGTTGAATGTTGAAATTCTAAGCTTTCAGAGGGGAATATAGCATTGCGATACACGTCATCGAAATTGACCATCAAATATGTATAGCACATTATTTGGCGTAGAAATGCTCAAAAAATAGTACATGTACCAGTAACACGTTTGTTGAATTCCAACACTGACTTTTGTTGTTTTTACTTTCGCTTTCACTCATAACGTGGGATCCTGCAGTGATCAGAAAATAAGTCTATTACGTACCTTTATGAAGGCAGACACATGGCGTGTCAGAATAATCAGGAAATAAAAGTACATACTGGATTATAATTTCAATGGTGAGCAGGTCTGTGTATGAAGTATACACAAGACATGACAATAGACGTATCCATGGGAAAGATATGTCCAAGAGTGGTCACTTTTGAACCACATCACACATGTGCAACCACTCACCCACTAAATTGCTCGGCCATTCTAATAAAAAGTCTTTCCTATGGCTTGTAAAACAAGTTATTAGAATAATGTAGCAATGCATGTCACTAAATTATATTGGTCCACAAAGAATATTTTTGAGCCAGATAATGTAATCTCAGTAACATTCTCACTTAAAACAATGCAGCTGCTCAAAATTTCATTTTATTGTGATGTATGCTGAATTTCTCATACAAATACTAGCAAAACATACCATTGATTTGTCTAATTTCCATTGCATCGTCTAATATACAAATAAAAACGAATCTAAAAATACATACTTTGGACATTAGGTGGTTAAATAAAACAAACACAGAGGTAGAAAATAAATAAGAATAAAAAAAAATGCAGCCGAGAAAAAAATCACTGCATACGGGCAAAGTTTCTTAGCCAATTAATATTCAAAAAAACGTTTTTTATAAATATGTACAAAATTAACACCTTTCAGTAATTTTTCACAATTTCATAACTAAAAATATACACAGGTAAATTGATAAAAACAGGATTGCACATAATTTTCCCCCCAAAGTTTTATGCTGGATGGGTAGGCATTTTGATATTTAAAAGACTGACAATAGAACAAAATATCTTGAAAAATTATTCATTCAGTACGCAAGCATAGAAAAAAAAATATCTTGGATATTTGTGCTTTGAAAGAAAGCGAGTATATACGACTTGCATGTCATGTCTACATTCTGTCCCTGTGTATTTTACCATGAGAAGTAATATAAAATCCCCAGCTTTAACTTGAAATGGTTAGAATCCAGTGATTATTTATGGCATACTTTTTATATATATACATTTCTCTTTGCAATAAACTAATCAGAGGCCAGTAATCATTCTGCTGGTTTCTCAGATTTTGATTGCATTTTTTTGTTTTCTATTCCACAATCATTATAGATATCAGTTTTTGATACACATACAAAGCACACTATACGTAGCATAAATTGGAAATCAATCATTCGCGACAATAAATTACATTCATTGAGAAAATGGCTTCATATAAGTTAATATATAACAAAGGACACCAGGCTAAAATAGCATGCTAGCTAAAAATATGTTTCACAAAACACTGGCGGATTGATATCACCTCTTTTAGAGTATGTTTCACACAAATCATGATTCAGCCGATATTAACAAACATACAAGCACCATATTTCCATATAACTTCATATATAAATAGGTGTAATAAAAACTACTCTCTGCAATTACAATAAGCCAGCAGATACAAGGAACACATATTAGTTAAGAAATAAGTATCTCAGACACTGCCCTTTCCTTCTCTCCCCTCCCCCTTCCCTTTCCCCTCCCCCAATAATTGTCTAATGAGACAAAGCTTGACTTAGCAGTGCATCTAACTGCCAAGATAATCAAAAACATGCCACTAAAATAAGCCACAAGAGCTTTACACAGGATTACAAATCGTATTTGGGTGAACTGTGTGAAAACAAACCAGTTCTCTAGAATAAAATATGAATAGAAAAAAATAAATCTCTTATCATCAGAGTTTATACAATGGCAGCTTATTAGTATGTACTCTTGAGTATGCTGTTTCTTCAATATTGAAGTGTTTATTTGGTGCGAATTGACAGGATTGAATAATTCATGGCATGGACTTGAACTGCTATATAAGTTTCTTCATTCAGCATTTACACATGGCTCTGGATTATTCCATCGTCAACAAATGTCTGTCTGCGCACTTAGTTTAAAAAAATACTGCTTCAAAGTGTTAAAATGGAAAAGATCAGGCTGGCAGTTTTCCTGAGAGTACTGTTATGCCAGGAATGTTTTAAGTTTTTCAGCTGGAAGAAATCCAACCAGTGTCAGTAAGGAAGTTTATTATTCGCTTTCTGTGAGCTTTATCAAGGTTGCTTGGATAGCGTGATTTGGTTGAAATACCTTGTCTTCTCGTCAAGTGATCCTAACATGGAGAGATAAAAAAAGGTGAATAAAAAAAATATGCACATTTTATTAAAATATTTACATACCATCAGAATTTTATGGTGTAAAAAATGATTAGGGTTTCGTGGAAAAATAGTAAAAGTTCATCATCATCATCATCATCTTATCCAGTGCACCTTGTTCAACTACTGTAAAATGACAAATTTTCACTGGGTTTGAATTTCGCTGATTTACCATTCAAGGCATATTCAGTGAGTTTTATATTCACGGTTTTATCATTTAGATAATGTGTTCTATGCTCAATTTTACATATTCACTGGGTTTTAATTTAGCGCATTTTCCAGTCAGCGAAATAAGCAAAATTAAAACCCAGTGAATAATTAACCCCTCTACAGTATTTGTAAAAATTATAATGCAACATTTTATCAGTTTCCTTTGTTTTGACAAAGTGCTGCACACCAAATCCATTTTCTCTCGAGCTTGGGTTAAGAAGTATGTAACAAATTTCACGACTATCAACAGGTTATATCGAACTGTAATTTACCTTTCACAATAGTTGATAGTCACTATAGACAATGTAATTATTTGAAAAAATTAAACAATGCCTGATTACCAGGTTTCATGACTTTCACGATGGTTTAATTTGAAGCCTTTTGAAAGGAATTGGCACTACACGAACGTGATTCCGAAAATAGAAATCTTCCAGGTGGACGCTTAGTTGAGCATGGGGGCTAAGTCGGAAGCGTATGGTGCATTGTTGCAGCATTTAGTTACTAATATTCAAATTGAGATTAGCAAAGATGACTGCTTACCTTAACCACAATTGTCTTGATTGTAACGTAACGAGCAGGTTTCATGCCCATTGATTTGCATAGCTGAATCAAATATAGAATAAACAAAATGTATCATCAAGTTTGGAAAACAAGTCATGAACACAAATATATAAATGAATGAGAATTCAGTGTGATTGTAAGAATAATAATACATGAGGTTATTATGATACCACAAATTATTATTACATCTGTCACTGTAACGCCTTAAGTTACAGGGTGTCGTAATTTTGCGGTAATTTCATCCTACCATATTAGGAAATGCGAATTCCAAATATGGAATGATCACGTGCGTAAGCGTCCTCTAATAATAAAAACAAACATGGCTGCCACCAGAGTTTGACCGGACTTCACACAAAGAAGCTCGCTGATTCTGTTTTAAATATTTTGAATTTTGGCATTCGTATGGTGTATCCTTGGAAGGAAAAGATGTACAATATGAAGGTTATTACGAGAATACCTCGAAGTATGCACTCAGACAGTACGCCACGCATCGACTTCAGCTGTACTGTCTTCGTGCATACTTTGAGGTATCCTCGTAATAACTACATAATATACAAGACAGTACACTTGAAGGAATGTTTGACACATAGCGGAGGTCGATGCAACAGTGTCAGATCACATACTTTCAGTATCCTCGTAATAGTCCTAATGATTAAGCCATTTCCCGATTTAACCGCTCATTGTTTGAAGCAAAGAACTGAGCTATGAACATAGTTTTTAAAAATATCCATCGTCCATAATTGTTTTATATATGGAATTCGCATAAAAATTACAATATGCTGTAACTTTATGGCGATACTATGACAGATGATATTATGTCACTTACCTTTTTCTCTTTTTCTGATAAGTAATTAAAACCCTGTGAGTACTTCATGTCCTGAAAGTCATTCAGGTCATTCACTGCAAAATATAATCAGAATATAATTCCACAAACTACACAAAGTAGCAGAGTGTTATCTCTAAAAGGCAACATGAAACTAATTTGACTGGCTGTTCATAAATGACCGGTTTAGCCACCTACTTTTTCAAAATAAACAATAGAATATTTTTAGAGACCCTGGTATTAGAGATTTTTAATATTCATGTATGGTCCTATGATATTTTCTCTTAGCAAATAAATGATTACCATCAGAAAATGATTGGTAAAGTTAAGTTATTTGTCAGTGCATGAAGACTGAGAATATATATTGACAGTAAATATATATATAGATCATGAAAACAATATAACATAAAGTACGGTACACATTTATATAATGTGTAACACTCACCTTTATCCTCTTTCGTCTTTTCTTCCTTAACCCTACAAATAGAAATAAAATGTATGAATTAGAGACTGGCTTTTCACATTAACTGACTGCATGCACTGTGCTGGTTTGGTGTTACTCTCTATAGTTAATCGTACATAACTCAGAGGAAACCACAGAACAGCAGTCGTCAATAGTTTCATTTTGATTCTTACATATTGGTGAGATGACTGACCCTCTCTTGGTTGCTGAGGCAGCCATTTTCTTTTTGTTTTCTTTCCTCTTCTCTCTTTTATGCCTTGCACTTTCAAATTCTGAACATTCTGAAAAATAAAACCATAGTTTTATATATACCCCTGAGAAAAACTTTTCTGGTGTGTTAAACAAATTTTTGGCACCAATGTGTGTGTATACGAGATCTTCTCAAATTCAGTTAGTAAATTACTAATGTGACTTACTAATGATATAGGGATTTAATACTTAAATAAAATGATTTTAATTTTCGCTTCACTCCATGAGTCAGGGAAACCACAAGATTTTGTAGCAGTGAACATTGGCATCTTTAAGACAGCTAGTCATAGTGACTATAGAATTACTGCAACCCCACAAATGCAGTCAAATAAAGTGAAAAATGACAGTGGAAAAAATCTCAATTGTTCAGAAACGATGCAACAGAATCAACGAATTTTTGAAGCAGTTTCATGTGGTAAGTAAACAGTGGGTAAAAAAGAAACCAGTCAAAAACCAGTGGGCATTATGCGAGGAATGTCATTAATTTATTTCTGTGATGTGATTTGTGCTATCTAAATGTAGAATCATAGCATGTCTTGTCAGCAAGGGCTCAAAAACTCATAATCAATCTGAAAATTAGGACCAGTACCAGTCACAGCTGTGATATGAATCCTGAGTGAATATATTATGTCATACCAACCTGGTAATTTTGTAATACCATGTCGCCTGTACCTCATCAGTTCCTTTATTCTCAACCTTAGTTGTTTTTCTCCTGTGTAAACAGATCAAGATAATCAATATGGTAACAAAGATTGATCAACAGATTTTCACAAGAAAATAATTATTTGATATCTCTAATGAAGGTGACCTTCTTGTTTTGTCTAGAGAATGATAAAAACATTTTTCTGAAAATATCCACAAATTGCTTTCCAGATGCTGAATAATAACGATGCCAATATAAAGCATTCTATTCAGGATAACAGATCCACACTAGATTTCTCTCAATTATATTATTACTGCAAAACTACCAGGATTAGAATGTAGAAAGCACTTACTTTGTAAATTTTCAAAGAACTGATCTTGTTCACCTGCAGACATAAACTGGGCTAAGGATTTCATTTTTTCACGGAACTCCTTTCCCTCTCTGGGAATTCTTTTTTTAGCTGAAAGAAAAAAGAAAGATCAATCAACCAATCAATGAAGTTCATTTAAAAAATTACTGGTTGATTTATGACTCTAAAGCAAACGTTTAAAATTTCAAAGCTGGAATCAGTTTAAAGAATTGCAAATACAGTGAGTATGTAAATTTTCAGTACTTACTTGGTACTTTTTTCGTTGTAGCCGCTGTAGAAATGGCAGCTGTAATTAAACCATATTCTCTAGCTATCCGTTTCCGCCTTTCTCTTTCCATCAATTTTTTGGTGAACATATCAACATGTGTTAATTTTAACACTGTGAGAAAAATCAAAAAATAAAACTTGTATTTTAAAAGCATCACCAGCAAAAGCAAGATTACTTTTCAGCATTATTACAAATATAAATATACAAATGGCGGCATTTGAGACTACACTTAAAGAGTTGATAATGTTGTTGACCCTATACTTTTGAGTGGTAATGAAACCCAGAGCACAAAAAGAAGCTGGCTTGTGAAATGGACATCTCTTGGAACTTGTCAGCTCTACCAAAAAGATCCAGGTCCAAGTGTGTGGCATAGCTTTTAAACATTGTGCATATAGGTATAGAAAGTTGCAGTACTCACTAGAATCTAGCTCTTCATCATTTACGTCTACTGTTAAATTACTAACTAAAGTCTCAGCATCATTATCATATTCCTGAAATAAACAACAAAATGTATTAGAATAAACAAACTTTCTGATGTGAATACAAAACTGCAATTTTAAATATAGATGAACAAATCTTCAAATGACATTCGTATAGTAATGTAAGGATCTAAAATACCAATTTTGTTTTTCCCCAAAACGTATTAAATTATTATGATAGTATAAACTGATAACAGCACATGTTCAGAGGTAGGATTTATAGTCCATAGTTAGACACATTGATGTCACTGGATACCCCGATGATGAGTGTACAGTGGGCCAATTATCAATTGACACAATAAATTGTGATGTCAAGGTTGGTATATAAAGATTGGACAGCTTGTTTCTAGGTAAATTTTGCCCAATGAAGAGGATCCACGTTTTGGGTCACCATGAAATATGGTTAGCTGATCTATATACTAACAAATACTAGTCAAACTGGGAAGGCCTGATGCTACGGTTTTGAAAATAGAGTTTGGCACTTCAATTTGTGAACTCCAGCACTGGATATGTACGCTGATGTGGTGTGTGTAGTGCATTAATTTGTAACCTCCACCACTTACTAACCAGATGTCTATGTTAGTGTGTGGTGAATGTTGCGTTTAGCAGAGGCCGGTGATATTGCCGGAGACAAGAATGATACCAAGCATAAATTTTCTTGTACCTAATAAACTATGATTTCACATAGTTGACTAGCATTGAGCATTGTTGTTTCTAACTGTATATACATATAATTGTATTTAACTATATTGGAATCCATCAGTCTAAATTATCTCTGTGTTAGATGAATATGTAATTTTAAATTGGTTAAGGAGGTAAAAATATTGAATTTAAAAATATTGGGGGTTTGGGGTTGATATTTGACCGGACCATGTGACCTAGTAACAGACTTGCAGTGATGTAGAAATAAGCTGATAGGTGGTCATTTTGACCCCCTGCTTCTAATAAAATACCAGCTATTTTTTTTAACAGTAATATTTATAAATGTGGAAAAACAGTGGCTTTCCAAGTTTTTGGAAAACACTTGTTTCACCTTACTTGGAAGAAAAAACTACATCAATGACTTACCCTCTCAAAATCATCTCTAAATGGCATATACCCTAATTCGTGTTGTTCTGCTAAAGTCATTTCTACTGGTGTAAATGGTGTTGTTAACGACGGTGACAAAGGGCCTGTAGGATAACAGGAAATAATAGTGAATTGCAAGATGCAGCAATAAAACTGGGTCTCCACTTTGGCTCCCAGAAACATTCCATTCCCTACATTTCACCAATGTTCACAGAAATACTAAATCAAATCAGTTTGTTGGTGTTTAACTTTACTATAATATTGGATTCACTGAGACAGCAAGACATATATGACACAACTGGAAATGTAATGTACCATCTACCGGTACTCCACAAATTTGAGTTCTGTAGAAGTTACTCAAAATCAACTTACCGTCAAGTGGTGTTGTATGATCTATAACTTTGGAATTAAGATTTGATGGAATAGTTGCTACAAAATAAAACAAAAACAAATTCATCAGTTTATGTTAATATGTTTACTAGAATTTAAAAATAGTGTTCGTCAGCAATGAACTAAAACAGTAAAATGATAGGAAATACATACAAATGGAAATTACTTGTAGCCACGTGATAATACCGGATTCGGTCGTAAATTCAGGTTTTTAAAAAAATGAAATGGGACCAAGAAATCAATTTGTCGACAGTTCTTAAAGTTTTTTTTTTTCTAAATATTTTGGCGTAATTTTTTGGACATTTCAATCGTTCCTGACGCCGAAAATAGTCCATTAAGTTTTTATTCAAGAATATGTTTATTGTGACTGGCGTGAATGGGTAAGCTTCGTTTTGACAATGAGCTGTTATCACAGTAAACAATGTTAAATTATTCTTTTAATGCTCAATTTATCTTTCGAAAACAACTATTTTTTTTATTTGAAAAAAAATCATGCCATTTTCCCCATCAAATTCCAAGCCAAAAGATCGTACTACAACATCGACAAATCTCTTCTGCGTTGCGTTCAATTACATTAACATACATTAATATATTCACGCAAAAAGAAACATGGCGGATACCCTACAGCATCTAGCGTTTATATGTGACCAGAATCATTTGCTTACAATGAAACTAAGTTGCATTTTATTTGCATTTCATAACAATTCAACAAATTTATTATTTTTGCGTTATTATAATCACAACTGAGTAATAATCAACAATTGTGAAACGCAGCATGACCAAATTGCACAACTGTGATCGTTTGCTACTACTCAATGCAGTTGTATTTGTTTTTATTTGAAACTTTGTTTAAAATATACTTTCGTTACCAATAAAATAAAATAAATGTATATGAAAAATGACACTGGGTGATATTGTAATGAAATTTCAGGCAGTCTACTCTTTAATTCAGCAAGAAAAAAAAATGTATCAAATTTTAAATTAGTTTCTGCAATACTTTCTTTCAACTTGGGTGGCCCAACTGACAGCGTTGAAAATAGAAGTCCCCAAAAATGTTTGATGATTATTTTTAAAAATGTTGAACCCCAAATAAGCGCCCACCAGCCGTGAAATCGTCCAGGGTGATTTTTCAGACGGGTGAATTTACGGCAGTGTACTTTATAGCTAAATTACACATAAATACAGTTAATTACCTTTTCCTATATTGCCTATTTGATACATTAATTCATAATGTTCCATTGCTTCCGGTGGTGATTTGGTTCCTATATGATCAGCAATATCCGCCCTGCAAATAAAAATGAAGTGTTCAATAACAATAACAAAATGCAGATCAATTTAAGGTGAAAAGTAATTCATCAAATAAATTATTACAAAATTGGACTTTGGTTGGGAAATTTCTTACTGCATACAAACTCAAGGTTTGAAAAAGATTGAATAACAATTATAAAAAAAATAAGACGGTATACATAGTGTATCATTTGTTGTCAGAAGGCAACATTTTTATTAAAACATAATCACTTGAATGTTTCATGGCCAAAAAAACAGATGAAAAACAGCATTTTTTGTATTGAACCTCAGAAACTTATATTTATGTGTTTGTCATATTAGAAGATAATCGTTTGCATGATATTTTGATTCTTTCAGTGTCCTTAACAACATGTATTGTTAGTTTAAAAATTTTTGTTTTCATTAATTAAAGCCTGAATTATAGTCAAACCATTTAACAAAATTATAGAGAACTAAAAACAGCACAACTTCGTGACCAGACGAAATTTTAGAAGCCAAAAAATTACAAAAACCAGCTAAATAATTAGATGGTTGAATTTTTAGAGTTTTTACTCTGCCTACAGGCAAGATCATACAAAAAAACAGGAAAGCCTGAAACATGTTGCTGGAAACCAGTATACTCATTTTCATTTGGTGTATACATTCGAATATTTCATACATTAATACAACCTTGTATCTATGTAACAACTATAAACTTTTTGAGTAGTAAAAAGTAATGATTTAGAGAAAACATACCAACTGCCGAATCCATATTGCTCTATGCCATCTAATAATAAAAGTTCTTCATGTGCCGTCCAATCTTCATTAAATATCGAAAAGTTCCCATTATCCTTTGAATGCAAGACATAATAAAGGAAAAACAAGAGACAGATTACTAAAACAAATTTCGTGCAAAACAATAGTGCAGTGTAACAGCTGGTCTGTAGGGTACAGCACTGAACAAAATACAAAACTAATGTGTCTGTCCCCTCTAAGCCACATTTTTACCAATTTTTTCTCAGTCAGGTTTTCAGTGAAATTGAGTACTCTTGAGAAACATGAAATGACAACGTTTCTCCATGCCAATTTTTTTAGGGGGAACACTATGTGTGCCTCAACAAAGGCACATATACATTTTGTTTAATTCAATATTGTATTCATTATTTTTTTTTTAAATAATAATTTTAAAACTTTCATTACGGAATTATATAACTCCAACACACTCTTTTAAAAATCATTTCAAACGCCATCTAGACCATGTGTAGTCATTAAATAATTCCGGTATGCGTTTTCTCTTTCATGATAATAGCTATTGTTCAGTGATTATTTGAATTACAAAGGCATTAACACGATCTTTTGTTAGCGACATATGTTCTGAGGTCAAAAGGGAAAATTACAATATCAATTCTGTTTTTTAAATTTTACATGCCATGTGTACTCTCTACAACATTCACGAGAACACTTAAACTACAAAAGCCAACCACTAACTACAGTTTTAGCTTTTTAATCAAAATAAAAATAGTACTACTACACAAGGATTCTTTACCATCATGAATTCATGAATGAGAAATAAAAATACGCTTGTGATTATGAAAATTGACCTCCAGAGATATCAATCACTATTTTAGTGATGAATTTATGATGGAATGCATATATCAAATACAGCATGAATTCATGAATGAAGATGTGCTCCAGTAATAGAACACTACAAATAAGACCTGCATTTGACAATACCTATATTTATAAAATTTTCGCTAAAATTTAGATATATAGTTGAAAGGTATTAAAATACGCATTGTTTATTTTACAACTCATAGTATAACACACTGATGGCATTTCTTACAGTATTCAACACTAAATATAGAATTTATAAATATAGACTTTAGAGGATCAGTATCATAATAATGAGTACACAGGTCAGTTTTGGGTCAATTCACAGCAGAAGCTGAGCGAAGGCCAGAAAAAAAAAATAACGAATCCCTACAACTGCAACGACTGCTGTGTTCATTCATTAAAGCATTACTACCAACAATGCTGCTGGCCTAATTAAAATGCAGAACAGGCAACCTTAAACCGACCAAACCATTAACACTCAAAGGGTAGTAAACACATCACTGGGGAATACTACATATAAAAAATATGAACAAAGTAAAAACATAATTGATAAAAATTATAGTGATGTATATCAATTTTTAAATAAATTATTTTAGCAACTTCAAACATTAAATTGACAGACTTTTCAACGAAACTGTATCACTGGGTCAATAATACTGACAACAAACCTTTACAATTATTGTTGTTTTTATTATTTGAAACATTAATGGTATGAAACATTTAATGGAAGTTGACGATCAAAACGAAGCAGACTTGGTTTCTGTAGTTATTACTATGAAATCAATTTACTTTAAAGTCGAATCAGTAAAAAAAAAAGGTTGGTGCAGGCTACGTAAAGGTGGTTACCCGTCGGACACCCCTGCATCAGAGTGATACTGTACCACTGCAGACGATAAACCAACAAATAGCCTGTGCTGCTTTTTTTCAGAAAATTTTACTTACTATTAATTGGTATTTGTGGTCCTTTTTATGATGTCCCATTTCTGCACCACCGGAAAAACACTATTATAAAGAACGGATGATAGTAAATATTAAAATACGTCTCGAAAACCAGTAAATTTCGATGCCTACAGTGCAAATAATATAAGTGAACTGTGAGTTTGCATACTAAATGAGGTGACGTAAAATGGAGGTCATACTTGCCTGTAAACAAAGGTCGAAATCGCTGCATTCGGCGCATTTTACCCGTATCCCGCGGATATCTTCTTGGCAGTAATTACAATAATATTTTGTGGTGTTCTCTGTAATGAAGCACATTGTAAAATTATCGGATCGCTTCCAAACAGCACCGTGAGCGAGAATCTGAATATAAATGTTGCCGAAACCGCTACTCACCCGCCATTTTGATGGCCTTCTCGGCGAATTGAAGGCTCGTGACGTCACGGCGACCACAATGCTTTGCGTCGATACGCTGGCTCATAAGTGCACATACGTGAGAAATCTGCATATGAAAGTGGATGTGTTATGCGGGTGGCCACCCCCCAAAATGTACAAAAAATATCAATTTTAGCGTAAGTAAAATCGACATATGGAAGCGTAGCAAATATACAGTTATTTCGCATGGGATTGTCGTTGATGTGTCGTCAATTTAACGGAAGGATATTAAAAAAATTATCGGTTGATGGTGACGATCATATCAGTCGAAATATTGATTGCCAACGAAAAATTCATATAATTAGACTAGTTATATTTTTTATTTGTGGTTTTTCAATGAATTGCAATCCTTGTTCATTTTAGTTGGAAACAAATCCAAACAAACTAAATGGCTGTATTCAGATGTGTGTTAAAAACAACTCGTTTTCAGTATCGCCCCCACTTTTCGCACATCCAGGGATATATTACAACACGATTCGACATTCGTGACGTGCGTTAGAAAAGATTGCATCTGATATGCGCCACGGCAGCCATTGTTAACTACTCACACGCTCCGGAAATATTCCCTTTGTAGAGGATATTAGAGAAAAAAAATGTCTGTGCTGATAGAAAATAATGTGAGGGCCGGGTGCTCGGATGTGTAGTTGTTATTCCATCTCATTGCCGCCACGGTAGAATTTTCATCCATATATGTAGTACTACTACGACCAACAACTTTGCTATAACATTAATATATGATGAAACAATACAATTCTCAGGGTTATGTACTAGCGGTAAATGTGGGTGTGTATTGTACGAGAAGAACAAGCAATTATGCAAATAAAATAGAAGACCAGTCTCCCGAGAGTCACATGACACCAAAGGTGTGTCGACGAACCAACATATTATATACCGGGTGAGTCTAAATTAAAATTGTAGAACCCATCATCATTTTATGAACAACTACCCCCCCCCCCTCACTCGAAAGGCAATTTTATAAGCTCTCGGTCAAATGATCACCATCTGCACTCATGATCTGACGTATTGATTACTAGTATGCTTGAAACGGTCACGTGATATCAGTACCCTTCATTGCTGCTTATTGGGAGTATTAAATGTCATCATTAACGAACAAGACAATGATCGACAACCACGCCGAGAGTCAAAGTGTTATTTATACTCTAGCCATTAATTTTAGTGGAAGTCAACGCGGAGAATTATGAAACATTTGGTCTTAAAGATTGTTACACCCTATGACATTTTACTTAATGCCCCAGGCATACCACGACCGATTCCGTCAAAGTGACGTCACGCTTCTAAATGCTACATAAATATAACGTGATATATGTGATATTAGGATAGTTTTTGTGGGGGGGGGCTTGCGAGAATGAACTGGGGTAGGCGGATATGAACACCGTTTATTCTCCAACCGTGCTTCGGAAAAAAACTTCATTTTCTAATTAGGGAGTAATTGAAATTAGTAAACTTAGGGTTGGGTGCTGTATAAAGGATACTATAGAAGACCATAGTAAAACCTTTTTGTTTTCCCTTGTTTGAATATCTATAAAATTTGATAAATTCTGATATTTTTAAAAAGATCATGTTCTTACATTGAAAAGAGACAAGAAAACGCATACAGACTTCGTTCAGAAGTGAAAAGCAACAACTGGGTCTTAATATTGAAATTGTTCCACTTATTTTGATATTTTGTCAGAATGGTATTTCTTTTTTTTGATATACGGTAACATATTCAATTTGTTTAATTATTGTAATGCTCTTACGTACTATATTGAGCGACGGTAAGATACCTTTCAGCCTGGACTCGTTTTTTTCACAATAACACTATTATTCAACATTATTGCAGATTGCCGAGTTCATATCGCCATCCATTTGACACACATCGATCGGTTTACATGAATAACTCATATCGAGAGATATCGAAGGTATATTTACCCGCTACGAGTTACGAACATTCCGACAAAAATATGTTACCATGGCCGAGACGATGGGTGCTTCAGTTCTCAACACAAATTTCCTCTCATAGTACATTGAACTTTGTCAAGGTCATTTTTGCACGTCAATTTATAAGTGTTTGGTTCTGATAATTACAGCGAACTTTGAAGAAAGTTCACACCATTTTATTAAGCATAATTTTATTGTCTTTAAATAAGACAGCAGAATCTCACAATAGGAGTATAATTGTAGATATATTGTAATTTATTTTTGTATGTTTAATTGCCAGTGAATCTTGTAATTTTGTAAATGTAATTTTGTAATTTTCGTCAATGTTTTTTCTTCAGTGCTAATCATTTTTTTTTAATTGTCTTGTAGTTTTTGGAGATCTTACTTTTGTACTTTCTAAAGTCAGTGTTGTGGTAAATAAACCTACTAAACTCGCATACGTCAAGACTTAAATGAAGCTGAAGTACATATATTAAGTTTTGTCGAGAATCCTGAACTGTTTGTATGACACAAGAAGTACGCATAACCCGAACACTTTAGTTATGTCTCGGTCGTCATGGCTACATGGAAGTCAATGTTATTCAAACAAACGACTGGATTAGTACTAAGTTCAAAACTAAAACAGGTATTGTCTACAGTTCAGTAACAAAACAACTCGCAGACTCATCCCCAGTTATAAAAATACACCATTGTTATAGTTCAATTGTGTGAAAAGATGAACTGAACTCTTGAAGTGTGATTAATTGATACGAAGCAAACGTTGAAAACAAATACTCAGATCTCAAGAAAAAAAGTTCTGTCAATGCATGAAATATAAGATGTATAAAATTCCTATACATGTACTTAATTTTAATTATAAGTTGTTCATATATTTTATTGATCTACATCAGTTTGTGGAAGCTTATACCAACTCACGATTTTAAACATATTCTTACTCATTATTTGACATGGTTAAGAAAAATAATACATATCACGAAAGATTGCAGGCCAATATAAAGTACATTATCATACTGAATTACACTGCGCCTCAGTTTGAGCATATTTGCATAGTTAACCCCACAATTGTTTATTGTTGTTATTATTATTAATGAGATGTCATATCAACATGCAACAATATTTGATTTGGTTTATTAATCATACGACATGAATAAATGAATATTTATATTAGACATACAAAACGTGATAGGTTGTACAATACAATAATGACAATTAGTACACATTTCATGAAACAAGATGATAATAAATCTATATCAGAATTCACGTCTGAACAAAATCGTTTGCTTGCGAGAGAAATTATAATAGAAAAAAACTTGAACATAAATATGACGTGTGAATATAACATTTCCTTGAAGTTATTTTCAAACACACAAGTTTTTTTTTTCATACAAAGATTTATGGTTTACACTAATGCATCCATTGAGTCTCGTGTCATGAACATTATTCTAAGCCACAATTAATGATTTTCCGTTAACTGCGAGATCTCGCGTAATGCGTGCACGAAAGGAGCGGACAGAACGTCTGCCGCAAAAGTCGAACGATTTGATTTTGAATATTTTTTTTAGTTTGCGAGAGGGGAATATCGCGTTGAGATACCATTACTTCGTCAAAATACTCCCATCATATGTACATAGCAAATTATTTAGCATAGAAATACTCGACAAATACTTTCGCAGTGTAGGAAAATTGATCTATTAGGGACGCTAATATTCTCCAGTTAGGACACATTGATAAAAATACCCTATTTGCATTGTCACTTGCATTGTCATTTGCATTGCGCTATTAATAATAGTCAAATATGGACAAGTTCACAGGTAGAAAATACTCACACTATGTTCAGGAGATTATTGATTGCAATAATCCGGCTACTTGCATTGTAACCGTATTCACCATAGTTGCCATGGTTACGAACACATCAAAACTTATAATTTACTCGAGAGAGGGGGGATTGTCAACCCTCGATTCGAAATAAATGAATAATCCTCATAAAATTACAGAGAATGATTTTCACTACTATTACTACTAAGTGCACACATAAATGCATCAATCATTTAATAAAACAAAAACAAAATGACATTTGGCAGTTCGACTGAGTCACGCACAAATGATTGTGGAAATTAACGAATCCGTTCCATAACACTACATACACCACGTGACTACAACTTGTCAAGTGATAATACATTTGATGAGGCAATCAACTTGAAACCGTCTCTAGTAAGCGAAGAAAAGTGAATTCGTTTTCGAGACCAATTACTTCATCGGATCCATTATCTGGAAAGGAAAAGGAAGTTGCAAGAACATAAAATCTCTGTAATTTGTGTCAATATACTTGATGCAATCATCATCATGATTTACACACTAACAAGCAATTTTCCTGTCTGATTAAAATTGACTTTTGTGTTAAATTGTTCCTTCACTTTTCTTTACTTTAATAATAATTTATGACACTGTCATTTGTGGGGGGCTGTAAAAACCATGTTATCGAACAGTGAATCCATATATCCTCTCTCACTCACCGGTGCGATGCTCCTTCTTAGTCACCTGTTTCGTTGCCTCTCGTATTTCATCAAGACTGACGTCGGACAACAAGACTCTCTCAGGCTCGTGAACACCATAAGTAGGATTCAACACCATATCCAGTTTCTCCTTGTTTTTTTCCCGTAATCGTTTCGGATTCTTTTTTATTTTGGTGAGTTTTTCCTTTTTTTTGGTGACATGATTTTTGACAGCATACACTTTATCCTCATGCTGCTCCGGCAAACCGTAGTCGCTTCTGAAAGGTTGGCCCACGACAACCGTGTCGACCCCACTCCAACTCATAAATTGTGTCTCAAGTCGTTTCGATTGATCGTCTAAATATCTAACTCTCATTCTCTCAAGACATTTCTTTTGTTTTTCTACAGACTCCTTATAAGCTTGTACTCGCGCTTCGACTTTCCTGTTGTGTTCCTTCACTTTTTCTTCCTGGATTTCTTCGAGACGCTGCAAAACTTTCTTGTGTCGGTGTTTTTTTATCCGATCTATTCATGTAGATGGATTGCAGGTGAGTCACGTGGTGTAGCTCTTTTTCATTCAACGTAATTTGTCGTTTTCGCTTATTCTGGTTCATCTTGTCCGTTTTCTTATTCTCCTAACTAATCCCACACACTTGTCCGATTTGTACTGTTTTTGTGTAGTTTTTCTCTTGCTGAAATATAGCATAATAGCACAGTGTTAAATCGTGGCACCTTTTTCGGCCCTCAAAATGGATCATTGTATATCTCGACTGCGCCGCGGCAGCCTCGGCTGACAGTGATCTCTTTGTGGTTTCCTCAATGGCAATATGCCAAATAACTCTTTAATTAGCGTTTGACTTTCAATTGTTGTGCACGCTAAACAATTGTAATTTGTGTCGTTGACATTGGAGGAAACACAGTCCCTCTATCACTGTGGGGGGAATTTGTATTTTTCATTCCACCAACTTTTGTTTTAAAATAGGGATGCTCTCAATGAAAGTGTGATACTTAAATAAACAAATAAATAAATAGGTTGGTATGGTTGATGATGTCCAACAAACCCCTGGTCACTTCAATAAATGTACAATTCTAGTATGTATGTTGAAACCAGATTTTTTTAATGAACACATGCTTGCATAATCGAGAAACAAACTACACCATTTCGGACTGCTGGCACTTAGCCGATTGTGTACAGGCTGTCCATACTGTAGCCTCGTGATAGCTGACTACAGAGGGCGCGTATCTATTGAGCCGGGGTTTTCTCGACAATGTGCCTGGCACTGGCGAAGGGATTACCCGGGGCAGGCAATGGAAAATTTAATGGCAAGATTTAATGGGAAAAACATGAATTCAAACAAATGCCTGGTATAATTGAATAAAATATTTCAAAAAAACTCCAGCATCTCAGATTTTCGAATGAAACCTCCTAATTTAAACATTTTGTTCATTTTTGTTTGTTTTGTTGGAAAATTCCAGTTGAAGAATCCTTTACAAGTTTGTTTTTTTTTTTGCGTCACCAATAAAATAGTCCATGGATTACATACTTACCTATGTAAAGGCTGCTGGTTATAAACTACAATACCATATTGACTATGTACATCTGAAATTGTATGTAAATCTATGTAACGATGACTCTTCAAACCTGACCGATGTTGACAACGTTGACGATCCGAAATGTTCTCTGGTACAGTGAAACAAAAAACGACACAAATAATGATGTCAGAATGTATGTGGACCACGAAGTGAAGTTTTATGTAATTCATCGCGGGGGAGGGGGTAATATTATAAATGCACACACTAAAGTATAGAATGTATTACGCCACATAAACCGTACTCCCATGTTTATTACTACGTGACATGAATGTGTGAACATCTCCTATCATAATGGCATGGCAATGTCAACAAATGTTGCATCCATTGAAATAACATTAGTTTTGACTTTTCATTGAGTCTCTTGCACACTCATCCAGATGTGTCGGACCCATTTGAATACGATTTGCGCTCGGGTTCGAGCGGGCAATATGCCTGGCACAACCACTATCAACTCAGGTAATCCATGGTATAGCAACTACACAATAATTAAACAATCTAAGTTGTATCTGTGTTTACAGTGAACACTTTTGATTTTTGCCTGGGCACATACAACATTACACAAGTATAAATTAGACGGTTAAATAGTCACTGTGCGCTTCCCCAAAATGAATGACTGTTTTACCTCGCTCTCGTTGTTGTGCGATCTCTGTGTTGAAAAGCGCATCGAGAAATAATAGTGTGTGGCAGAGATCGAGTCGATGTCAGTGACGCTATTGTCCCGTGATGTAGTCAAAACAGCGATCAATGCACATACTTTACAACGAGTCGTTTTATAATGTTGGCTCACACATAATACAATGCAACTCAAAGAGATTTCAAAAACAAAATTCTTAAATATTACGATTACGGGTTCGTCTATGTATATATATATATATACTTTTGTGAAACTGAAGGCTGCCAATATGAATATTTATAATTGCCTGAATATAACTGCAGGCCAATTACAATACCTGACTAATACAATGTACCATTATATATAAGAAATCTACTATGTACGCAGTAGTGACGTTGCAGTTGACGTCATCGCAAACCACCGACCTGTTGCATCGCCAGGGCATAGTGATTTGTATCATGAAATTTCTCCGTTTGCTTTTTTGCCCAAAAACATTCACTATTGATGTACAGACATATACAAACATATAGATATTTGTTTGCGATGTGTATCGCATTGTCATAGTTCCAAATGCAGTTTTACCACATATGTGGGGGGGGGGGTGTTCTCCGTACGTCGATTTCAGCCATAAAGCACTGTAAAATCATAACTATGTATTTGGCTCATAACCACAATGTATTCCGGAGCGACACATGCTGAAATGTCGAATGTATCATGCTTACAACAAAATGACACGGTTTTTTGGTCAGAGATTATAGAATAATATACATACTGACAACGTTTCGGAGTACTCACCTTCTTTGCACCGTGGCCGCTGACTCAAAACATCGCCAGGCAATGATCGGTGTATCGTGAACGCTTATTTGGCATTATTTATCCTTCAAAGTCAAGATAAATTAACCACATTGAGGTTCTCTAGCAACCTTCAATCGTCGCCCACCTTGTCCCGGGAGTGATTAGTTGCGAGTCAACCAGGTAACGACCGCATTGTTGTGTTCCACTGTACGACAAAACATCGTCCTAAACACAATCGTCGAGTGTCTTTGATTGCTTTGATGCCACGAACTATAACCTACACAATACGTCCAATGATAGAGCATCTGAGTGGTGAAAGGTACATTGCGAACTTTAATGGGCCATGCTCGTTGTCATCGTTAGTCCAGGACAACCAAAATACGACGTCCACTTAGACCGCATTGTCGATATACGTATAGTTAATCCGACTTTTATTCATTTTACATACAAATATAATATATTAGATCAATATCAGCATAACAAATATCCCCTTATTGTCAAAGGATGGGCTAACAAAACGATGCGAATACTCAGCCGAAATATAATACCACGGATAGTAATAATTTCGTGCTCTCGTCTATGCATTACTTCGGAGTAGAAAAAAAGAAAAACACAAGCAAACTTGATGATAGTACGTATTTCGCGTGCCCACGCTTGAAATAAACCCCCAAAACTCTGTGATCAATTTCTATTTTAAAACTTGTGTTTGTTTGGAATGAGTTCATATTGTTTAAAAAAGTATAGGTGGACACATACTAGACCCGTTATATAGGAACTTTTATTACAGAGCTTTACAATACCTTTGTGAAACGTTCAATAATATGGATTCAATGAATGTTTCTTCAATTGTCGGCCAAACATATGTTTTTATATACAGAAAGGCCTTTCGGCGAGCCCGAGTTCAAGAGTTGTATGGATAGTTAGCGATCAATAAACTTTGGTATGCAAAGAATTTAAGTTCACTGTTCTTATACCTTTTGTTTTGTCACTAGTGCACAGTGATGGTTAATAACTATAGCGTAGCAGTGTTTTGTTTGTGTCCCGAATAGAACCGATCAGTGCCATATTACAAGGTTGAGTTTATTTCACTAGGCGTGTAGTCTATTGTAGTGCAATACGAATAGAACCGATCAGTGCCATATTACGAAGCTGAGTTTATTTCACTATGCGTGTAGTCCAATGTAGTGTAATACGAATAGAACCGATCAGTGCCATATT